CTATTCACCTGGCCACACCTGGCAGGTTCTTTCCAAGGCCCATAACATCAGTCTGCTACCCTTCTTCCACTCTGTGCCCTCACCAATTGTCCTCTCCTATGACACTATGATGGTTTGCATTTGGAATGTCCTCCAGAAGTTTCTGTATTGACAGTGTGGTCCCAATGCAGCCAGGATCAGAGTGAGGATTTTAGACAATGATCGTATAACGAGGGCTGTGACGGAATGGACCTCTGGGAGGTGGACAAAGTAGGTCACTGGGCTGTGCCCTGGAAGGGTTTATCTTCTCTCAGCCCCTTCCTCCTCTTTCTCCTCCTCCTTCTCTCTGCTTGCTGGCTTCTGTGAGCTGAGCAGCTTTCCTCTACCAAGTCCTTCAGCAATAATGTTTCTGCCTTGGAGCCAGCTAGCCATGGGCTGCAACCTCAGAATCCATGAGCCCCATTAAACCTTCCTTAATCTAAGTTGTTCTTTTCTGAGGGGTGAATGGGTACCAGGGATTGAACTCAGGGGCACTCAACCACTGAGCCACCTCCCCAGCCCTATTTTGTATTTTATTTAGACACAGGGTCTCACTGAGTTGCTTAGCACCTTGCTTTTGCTGAAGCTGGCTTTGAACTCCCATCCTCCTGCCTCAGCCTCCTGAGCCTCTGGAATTACAGGCATGCACCACTACACCCAGCTCTAAGTTGTTCTTGTGAAGCATTTTGTCACAATGATGAAAAGCTGACTTCACCTGCATTCCCCTTCACAATCCTGTCCCTCCACTCCAGACCTCCAACTGAATCTCCTCCAGCACATCAAACTCAGTGTGTCCAAACTCAGTTTGAACCCTGCCTCTCACACTCACACCTGTTACTTCCCCAGATGGTGGCTCTATTTCCATTAAGCTTCTCCTGCCCAAACCCTGATGAACCCTGAGACAGCCTGGGGTCTCCCTTAACTGCCCCTTTCTTTACTTCTAAATGCCTGAGCTTGTCCTGCACCATGCGGGCTTTTCCAGGCCATCAGCCCCCCCCCCCTTAGGGTGACCTAAAACAAAGTTCTGGGTTTCTCTTGCAGATAGCTCAGAGCCCTCAATACGCTAAAGAACCCTGAGACTGTCCAAGTGGGGATGATCACAAGTTTTCCCAGGCCTCCTATACCAGTGCACCCTGTTTGCGGGGAGCACCTTACTTGTGTTTTATGATATCTTTTGGAGACAAGTATCCTTGCTGGGTGGCTGCCTCTGGTTATGCTATGGCCTTCATTAATTCTCTGCACACTCAAAGAATAACTGACCTAGACCTTACCCTGTCTGCCTCTCCAGGGTGCTGGTAGCTAGCAACTTGTGTACATGGTTCCAGGAGGCAGTGGGCAGGAGCAGTTACCCCCATCTTTGGTCTTTATCTTTCCATTCCTACACTCAATGCGGTGTCTGCACAAAGGCCTTAAGTGGAACTGAGCTGCTAGGCAGCACGTTCCCATGCCCCTCTGGAGGGTCACTTCTGCAATGACTCCATTCCCTGCAGTTTCACTTCCATAGAGTGCACTCTTCCTAATGCCCTCCCCCACATCTGGAACCCTTGATTTTCTAGACTTTATCCCCTTAGTAAGAATAAGCTGAGTGGGGTGGGGGAGATGGTGGAATGAGACGGACATTATTATCCTATGTACAGGTATGATTGCAGGAATTGTGTGCCTCTACATCATGTACAACCAGAGAAATGAAAAGTTGTGCTCCATTTGTGTAAAATATTAAATTAAATTAATTTTTTTTTAAAAAAGATACAAAAAAATAGTCTGAAAGTTATTTCAGTAATGTGATGAATCTGGATCCTGATTCCCTCGTACAGGACATGTGTCAGTGTCTCCTTCACTCCCTTAAGGTTCAAACAGCTCAAAAGGTAAGGCTGCAGGACTTGGGTGAGTATCTCTCTTTGCCTTGACTTGCCCTGTATTGATTGTGTTATGTGCTCTAGGGTCCTTTGGGATTTGAGGAAATAAAAAGAAGTCTTGGATACACAGGAGAAGTACAAAATCACATTAGTAACGGGCAGTTCTGAAATGTTCTTGGTTCCTGGATGATCTTCTGACCTGGAGACCTCCTATAGTTGACTGAATATTGTCCTCTAAGTAGTCACTCGGAACCTCAAAACATGACTATTAATTCATTTCCTTCCACCATGTTTCATCTCCTATGAAACAGGAATAGCCATCACTTCAAGTTCATGTGGTTGTTTCAAGGGTAAAATGAGCCTGTGCAGGTTAACACATAGTATCCTTCCTGGCGCATAGTGGGGCTACATGGGGCTAGCCAGTCTTGTCATTATTTTCAGGACAATGTCCCTCAATCACAGGTCTCCTTTCCTCTGGGCTACCCTCCATCTGTTCGTTCCTCTCATAGGCCCATACACAGGCATGTACCAGGGCTGGCCTACCCGGCCTGCCTCTCCAGGGTGCTGGTAGCTAGCTCTAGCATGAGGGTGATTGTGACCACAGGGTTAGTGTAGTTTTATCTCTTGGCTGCTATAAAAAAGCTCCACAAACCAAGTGGCTTACAACCACAGAAATTTATTCTCTCACAGTTTGGAAGCTACAAATCTGGAACAAGGGTGGGGCTGTACTCCCTCTGAGGGCTTTAGGGGAAAATTTTTTCTCACCTATTTCTGGCTTTTGGTGGCCTAACATGTTCCTCGGCTTGTGGCAGCCAAACTCCAGTCTCCACCTCTCTGCCTCTGTGTCTCCTTTACTGTGTCTTATAAGGACACTCCCATTGGCTTTAAAGTTACGCTAATCCAATAGGACTTCATTTTGAGCCTGACTTTAAATATATCTGCAGAAACCCTACTTCTAAATTGTCATGTTCTGAGATTCCAAGTAGACATGGATACTTGGAGGACATTATTCAGTCAACTTTGGTCTCCAGACCAGAAGATCATCCAGGAACCAAGGACGTTTCAGAACTGCCCATTACTGGTGCGATTGTGTACCTGTCCCGTGTATCCTAGGTTTTTTATATTCCTGCAAATCCCAAAGGACCCTAGAGCACCCAACACATCACAATACAGACGGCACTCAGTACTATCCACTGACTGGATGAGTTCAAAAGAGCTGCCGGGTGGACCAGAGGTCAGGAATGTAGGAAGGCAAGGACTTACACAGAGGCCGGACCTGTTCCAATTCAGCTTGGGGGTGGGGTGCACAACGAGAGAAAGGAAATGATCCTGATTGGACATTGCCAATGGACAGAGCCAGAGACCAGGCCATCCACAGATGGAAGAAATTTCCAGGGAAGGCTGGGGCTACTTCTGGGACTGACAAAGATACTCTATCTTGCTGCCCTGTGGACTGGACCAGATTCCAGGGCCTCCCTGATCGGCTTTTGCTCCAGGAGCCACTGAGAGATTCCTCCAGACCATTGATCAATGGCAGAAAATAAACTCTAAAGCTCTTCCACCCTGCACTGAAAATTCCCTTAAATGAGTACAGGTATTAACACATTTTCACAGAAGAGGAAAGTGCAGCTTAAATAGTCCACGAACTTATTCAAGACCACTCAACTAGAAGCCACCAAGTGAGGAGACAAGTTCCTGTTAAATTCTTTTAATTAACCACTGCATGGCAACACCACCCACATTTCAAAGCTCTAAGTCTCAATTCCCTTTTTTGTAAAGCCAGACTCTGCAGAGGTTCCTAGCTACAGGTTCCTATGAAAATTAAATGGCATACATAGGTTAGGGCCTGGCACCTGTTGTGTCCCAGATTCCCCTTTCAACAGCCAGCCCTTCCCAAGGCTGACAGGCATCTTCAAGAGCTTTCAAGGGTTATCCCCAAATCTTTCAGTAAACTTCTCAGATGTATGAGGGGAGGGTGGGGGGAATGCCCTGTAACCCTGGAAAAGTTATTTCACTTTCTGGGTCCGTTTTGTCATTGTAGGATGAGTTATGGGCTGATTAAGGAGAGAAGGAAGGATGGAGTCAACCAAATGCTGGTCTATCAGGTCCACAAGGCTCTTCCTCCAACCAGGGACCACAGCAAGGTGGGAGGAATTCCATTCCAACTGAACCAAAATTAGAGAATTAAAAGGACTCCTTTTCACAGAAATTAAAAATGAGAGATTGTTGAAAGAATTTGAGACGAGCAGGTAGTTGAGGTGAACCCAGTTGAGAGGGTGAAGCAACTGTTTGAAACCAGGGCTTCTCTGGGATAAAGAGAGTCCTAAGTCGCTTCCATTATATATATATTTAATTCATATTGCCCGGCATCCAGTGTTGATGGGTAATGGTGCAGAAAACTTTTTCAAGGCCATCAGGGCATCTAGTGATGTCAGTAGTCGGAGGCTGAGGTGGGGTCTGAAGGTGTTGTTACACACCTTCCTAAATCAACGATTGAACGACTGAACAAGGAATGGACATTCCGCAAGTCACAGAGACCCTTGGAGAAGGCCAGCTTCTCCTGAACTGTGGCCGCAGGGAATAAGTAGCCTCACCTGGGGGCGTTGTGCTGGGGTGGGGTGGGGTGTAGTTGGGGGGACTGGACTGGCACCTGGACAGGATTTGCACGCAGCTGGAGCTGATACAGCCGGGATTAATTTTGGTGGGTTGGTCCCAGGAATCCTAAGAAAATCTGATCAAAACTCTGGACCTTCTCACCAGGAGATCCTACTGCCCCTCCCCCCCCCCACACACACACTTTCTTTACCCCTCAAGGAACCTCCAACAATCCAGACCTCTGACGCTCTCCTGGGTCTCTAACCTGATTACTTCCTGTGCTCAGTTACTCCTGGGCGCCTGCAGATCGACGGGGCTGCAGATTGACGGGGAGAGAGGGAGTGGGGGACCGGGTCACCGCCTCGGCCCCGCCTACCTGGGGACGGCTTGGGCTTGGGCGAGCTGGCCCAGGGACCCGCCTCCGCAGCGAGGTCAGCCCAGCTACCGCCACCGCTGTCCGGTGCAGAACAGCTGATCGCGTCGCCACCGCGGGTCGTCTCCCTGCGCTCCCTCGGGGTCGCTGCTCCTGTCATGAAGATGCACTTCTGTATCCCGGTGTCCCAGCAGCGGTCGGACTCGCTGGGAGGCCGCTACGTGGTGCGCCTGGGGCCGGGGTCGGGCTGAGTGGCTAGGGAGAGGGTGACCCTGCTCACCGGCTCCCTTAGCTAATTCGGGCCGGGGTCTGTGTGTTTGTAGCTGTACTCCGTGTACCTGGACGGATTCCTCTTCTGCAAGGTGCGCTACAGCCAGCTACACCGTTGGAACGAACAGGTGAGCGGGTCAGAAGCAAGTAGTGACCCCCCACCTGAGACAGGTGGGGGAAAGTGTTGCCCAAAGAGCTCTAGTTGAGTTGTGTGACTGATTTTAGACTTTGGGGGGCTTCGGGTTCCTAATCCCTAAAACAGGTAAGGATTAAATGTGAATTGCTTGGCATACAGCTTCATGATTACATGTTATGGCTCCTAGTCACCTACAGATATGAGATGAGGAACAGGGCACACGTGACTTTCAGATCACCCAGCCCCTCCAGCCCCACCTGTAGAGTGCTGGATCTATGGTGGGCTTCATTTCAGTGCCAACTGTTCCCCAGGGCAGGGTCCCCTTTCAAAATGAGCAAATTAAATCAAGACAAAAGTGTAATCTAAGGAATCTAGAACATGAGCAATCTCCTTTCTCGCTAGAGATTTTAAGTTTGCCTCCTTTTAAAAAAATGTGTGTCTGTTTTTGTTTTCAAATGACCATAATCATAAATTTCAAATCCTAGTAACTGGGGAACCCAGAAAACATATGACTTACCAACTTAGGAGGTCATTTCTCACTGCAGTTTCTTACCCTGGTGTGCCTACTATTTTCTCTGGGTGGTAGGTGGATTTATTAGTTTGCTCTAATGGATTTTATTGGTTTTATGAGGAGGTGTAAGTCTTCCAAATGATTAGAGAAGTAAGTGGAATCTGGGAAATAAAGTTCAAATTCTCCTTCCATTCTTCTCCACAAATAGTTGTTTCTTTTCTTTTTCTAGAGTTTAGATTTTAAAGAACACATACCTCATGTTAAAAAGAGTATAAAGAAGACAGAAGGCAATAACTATTAACATTGGAAGGGGGACCTTTCATACAGGTTCACTAGGAACTATTTCATACTATTCACTAGGAACCCAGAGAAAGTCTCTGGGTTCCTAGTGAACAGTGATGCCATATTTCATTTAACCATCTTCTGATGGTGGACAGCTAAGTTTTTCTACTATTGAAAAGGTGTAAAAAAACCATCAAATACAAATCCATAGACCAGCAAAAGGAAGTCTAATAGACAAAAGAGAAGTGGGGGATGAGAAGGGAAAGGGACAGGGAAAAGGAACAGATTTCCATGCATGTCTAAGTTTATCAGGATAAACCCAATTACTATGTATATCCATAAAGATCTAATAACAAAAAGAAAAAGAAAGGGTTACTATGGCAAGTCTTCTCGTTCACATGTTGTAGTGAATTGGAAAAGTCCATTTTCAAGGTATGATTAAATATCTCTGGACTTAACAAGAAAAACATTGCAATGTGTTTACTAGCAATAATTTGAGTGTATTACCAGTGCCGGCAACACAGAGGACCTTCAGGAATGATTGATAAATGTCTGGAGAAAGAAGCTGTGCATTCAGATTTCTGAAAGATGAGAAGTTGCTTTTGACCAATACACATTTGGGGAGCTGCAGGTGGGCAGATGAAGATCTCGAAGGAAGAGAAAGGAGAGATGTTTCAGACATTTGGTAGCAGAAGTCAGGGTATCTCTCCTGCCTCCATGGCTCTTCCTGGAATGTGAGAGGGGAATGAGGAAGGGGCCAACATGAGTGCAAAGCAGGAGGCAGCAGGGAGAATGTGGGACCCTCTGCTTCCAGGCTGCTCACCTCTCCTCTGACCTTCAGTTTTCTCACCAGAAATAATAAGCAAGCACTTACGTATGGATGCCAACCTCTTAGGGTGCTTGTGACAGTTAGGGGCCAGGATTTGATGTTTAGAACATACTCTGACCCTTACCTTTTGTGGTTTCTTTTCTTCTTCCTCCTCCTCTTTCTCCTCCTCTTCTTTCTTTTTTTTTTTCTCATTCTTCTTTTTCTTCCCCTTCTCCTTCTTTTTTTCAATGTTGAGGATTGAATCCAGGGACACTTTACCACTTTGACCACTGAGCTACATCTCCAGCCCTTCTTATATTTTATTTTGAGGTAGGGTCTCATTAAGTTGTCAAGGTTGTCCTCAAACCTAGGATCCTCCTGCCTCAGCCTCCTGAGTCACTGGGATTATAGGTTATGCCACTGCACCCAGCCACATTACATGATTTCTTATTAAACTTGACAAAAATAAATTATCAGTAAGACAATTGAGTCCTAACCCAACTTGCTTTTACTATACTTTGGAATAACATAATGATATTACCCAATTGTCCGTGTTTAGTGTGATGACTTTCAGTAAATGTACATAGTCAATACCACCATAATCAAGACAAAGAACAGTTTTATCACTCTGAAAGTCCCCTTGAACTAGACATGGTGGCCAGGCAACTTGGGAGGCTGAGGCAGGAGGATGGCAAGTTCCAGCAACTTAGCTAGAATTTGTCTCAAAATAAAAAAATAAAAAAGGCTAGTGATGTAGTTCAGTGGTAGAGCAGGCCTGGGTTCAATCCCTAGTAGTGCAGTAACTGTGAGATGCAGTGACTCCTGTAATCCTAGAGGAAGGAAGGAAGGAAGGAAGGAAGGAAGGAAGGAAGGAAGGAAGGAAGGAAGGATCCTTGTCCTCTTTGCCCTTGATTCCCTCCATTCAATCCTGGCCCCCAGGCCATAGGACCTACTTTCTGTCATCAGAGTTGCTGCCCAGGATTTTGCTGGAGCTGCCCAGCAACCCCACCAGGGCATCGGCATCGTCACTCCCATTTAATAGATCAAGAATGGAGTGGGGTGGCCAGATTTAACACAGAGAAATACAGGATCCCCAATTAAATTTTAATTTTAGGTAAATAATCAATTTTTAAAATATAAGATGTCCTATGTACTCTTTGGGACATACTTAACTGGGCATCCTGTATTATACTGATCACCAGAGTGTGACATTGAAAGGTTGGGTGAGCTTTTCCAGCCATTTCTCTGTTGTTTTTTATTTTCCTGGTCTGTGGAGGATATGAAACTTCCAAATTCTTAATCTGATTTAATACAAAACACTGTAAAAAAGGGAAATGGTAGAAAAGTCTTGTGTGTGTGTGTATGTGTGTGGGGAGGGGCCAGGTATAGGTGTTTGTGGTAAGAATGAGATTATTACTAGCATATTTATTAAGAAATACTGGGTCTGGGGAGGTGGCTCAAGCGGTAACATGCTTGCTTGGCATGCGTGGGGCGCTGGGTTCAATCCTCAGCACCACATAAAATAAAATAAAGATGTTGTGTCCACCGAAAATTGAAAAATAAATATTTTACAAAAAAAAGAGAAATACTTACAAAGTTCCTATTGTACGCTGTGTACTTAAATTAAGCGACTACTATGACCTTAGCATATGTAACTTTTGGCTATAAGAATTGGATTTATAGCAGGGCACAGTGGTGCACGCCTGTAATCCCAGTAGCTCAGGAGGCTGAGGCAGGAGGATGGTGAGTTCAAAGCCAGCCTCAGCAATAGTGAGGCACTAAGCAACTCAGTGAGACCCTGTCTCTAAAAAAAATACAAAATAGGGCTGGGGTTGTGGCTCAGTGGTCAAGTGCCCCCAAGATCAATCCCCAGCACGCCCCCCAAATAATTTAATTTGTATTTTGTATGTTAGATACTTCTGAGATTGAGGAGGTACACCTGCCTAGATGCAGTGACTTCTGGTCCATCCCCCTAATACTCCAGGGTATGCATAAGACTGGACCTGGGAAAGAAAAGAAGTCAGCTGTGACTCGTCTTCTCTGATGTCATCCTCTGAGTCCCGTCCCTCAGTGAGGCTCCCCGGAGGACTGGCAGCATGTCCCTGTACTGCTGACCACTGCCAGGTTTGAACTGGCTGAGCCACCTTTTCTCTGGGTCTTTTGATAAATAAAACCAGTTTGATTCAGACCTCTGCCTTGCCGGCACTACCCTTCCCAAACAGCCATAAAATCTATGATGGCAACATGTAATCAGCTCATTTTGGCCCAGTGTCGTGGAAGTGATGCTGGGCTCTACGAACAGGGTGCTTGCCTCTTGCAATCAGGCAGCATCAGACGTGGCAATGGGGACAAGTCAGGAAAGCTTGCAGAGGATACTTTAGCAGGAGGGGAGGGCTGTGCAAACCTCTCACACTGCTTCTTTGCCCCTCCCTGCCAGGTGCAGATTTTACCTGGCTCCTTCCTCCCACTGACCTAACATGATCTCCTCATTTCTCTACTCGAATCTCTGGTTCCTAACAGGCCGGCCCAATCATCCCCCTTGCCTTACTTATTTCCCCTGCTTGGAGTACTCTTAATTTCCAGTCCACCTGTCAGGAACCAGTCCTTTCTCAAGTCCCACCTCTCCCAGGAAGTCCCCCTTGATTGCATGAGATGCCTTTCTCTGACTCTTCTCCCATATCGAGTTTAGATGCCCCAACCAATATCGCTTTGAGCTGTGCCCTTTTCTGGTGAGTCTGGGACTTGGAGACGCGAGATGAATGAGTCAACATTAAAAACAGAGACTGTAGAAAACTCTGTGTTTATATCTCTAATTCCACTTGCTCCAGGTTCTCACCCCTCTGGAGTTGATATGGGCGCTGTGTGAGCGCAGGGAAGGAGGTGACACTTTCAGCGGGTCAGAATGGTCCCACTTATGTTATAAAGTAGAACTGCACAATGGGGAAGTTCAGTGTAAGAGGTTCTGAGATTTGAAAAAATTCTGAACAGGGTCCTCCAGAAAAAAAAATAAATAACTGAAACTAACAAAAAATGCCCCATAGTAAGAGTTGTGTTTTCCTTTTGATCTTTTTGAACATTTTTTTTTTAACAGAGGGATTGAGCCAAACTCTTTTTTTTTTTTATTGTTGGTAGTTCAAAACATTACACAGTTCTTATATATCATATTTCACAGTTTGATTGCTAATTCTTAGTATGCAAGAGGTTTCCATAGCTAGACCATGTGCTATCTGAAACCCATCGAGAAGGTTCTGTGGTGATAGAGTTGAGCCGTGGCATTGACTTCCTGCAGGATTAACTACTATTTACTGTATGTTTAACCTCTTACCACATTAGAGAAGGGAGGCAAAAGGTTTCTTGAGAAGTCAGGTCAGGTTGAAAATCTTCTGGGATG